CCTTAACTAGCTTAAAAGTCTTAAGTCATTGCATTTGGCCAGTTTAAATCACTGTTACTTACATTTTCTTTATACAACATTTAGATATTTTATGATAGAATATATGAACAAAATTGACAATTAATTTATTATAAAAAGATTATAAATTATTTGTAACACAGATATAGTTGAGTTTGCCATTAATTAAATATTTGCGTTATCAGCTGAGAGCTGTTGCCCTGTTTGCGTACCATCTTTGTCCCTCTGCAATGTTACAGGTGCCAGAAGTGGACAGGCAGGGCTCCCGCAAGTGATAATCCACCCTATGAATAACCTATAATCAACTAGTTCAAGCTCATCTGTCAGAAATACACAAAAAAAAAATAATCCTTTTTGTCTCTCAGTGGGAACAATTCTATGTATCAGTATGAAAGTATTTTTTAAATTACTATTCAAACAAAAAAGTTGTTTCAATTTAAAAATATTTCAAGTAGAAAATTTTCTGCAAAACAAACTTTTTTTTTTTCCACGTAAGAAATCTTTGGTTGAATCTCAAACTTTTGGTTGATGTTTTTAATTTAACTTAAAAAAGTTTTGAACTCAAGAGAACATAAAAATCCAGGGCGGGGCCTAAAGAGGAACTATGTCCGTATTGGTTAGCGCGGACTGAAGCGATTTCCTACTGCACCCGCTTTAAATTGACCGGAGAAAGCACTCGAACTGCGGCATGGAGATTCAGGCTGTAGCTGTTGGTCGCCCCAAACATTGCTAACAGACAGACAGCAAAGTTTTCTGGGTCTGCTCAAACACGTTTCAAACTTAAATCAACTGATCTCGTGGTGCAATTACAGTAAACATTGAAACTGCAGCTAAACTACCCCACTGTCTTCTAAAGCTTTTATCTCAAAAAATACCAAACGGATTTATTTGAAACTTTCAGGAAATGTTTGAAATGTTCAATACAGCACAGAGAACAGCTGATTAAAGTTTGAAACATTGCAGAGCATGAGCTCCAGCGGTTATCAATTGTTGATGATCCGAGTGGCTAGCTTGTGGTGTAGTTTTGCTGCAGCCATGCCACATAAGAAGCCCTCCGGATCGGGATGGAGCGTAAGTCTCATGCTGGTTTTCTCCAGGTGGTCCTTTACTCTCTTTCTTGGATAACATAAGATGGGACGGAAGGGCGGAGGAGGCTAACCTCTGTTGCAGGGCTCTATTGTTTGTAAAGTATAGGAAAAATCCACTTCAGATTTTGATTAAACTTTCAGGGAAATTCTAACGCTTATAAATAAAGTACCTTTAATAAAGTACCTTTTCCCTTTAGAGCTATGACTGACAGAAATTTGAGCCAAATCACACAGCTGGTTTAATAGTTGGATTTTGGTTTTCTAAGATTAAATATATTATATACAGTATATTGTGACAGACTTGTGACCCGTCCAGGACGTACCCTGCCCCTCGCACTGTGACTGCTGGATATAGGCACCAGTGACCCCTGTGACCCTGAAAGGAATAAGCATATAGATAATGGATGGATAAATATATTCCCCTCTCAAACGAAAGTTTTAATAAATGTTAATCGCACCCCAGAAATCAGTTGATTCAAGTTTGAAACATGTTTTGAGCAGATGCGGAAAACTCTGCTGTCTGTCTGTTAGCAACTGTTAGCAATGTCTGAGGCAACAATCGACTAGAGCGAGTCAGGCTGGAGTTATGGTTTAAATTATTTGACTGGTTGAAAATTTTTTGATATAATTTTTTTTGATTGAAACTATTTTTCATTTGACTGAATAATAAAGACAAAATTACTTTCATATACAGTATAAGAAGCAAAGTAATAGGCCAACAGAAACACACAGGATACACAATAAATTTCCACACATCACAACAGAAATGAAAAACTAAAACTGTGACAAAAATACTGTTGAAATACTATACAATCAATAAACACTTAGGTAGTAAAATATGTATTGAATAATTTAAAAATCTACCTTCTTGTTCAGCATGTTTGGAAAATCTGTTTCTATTATTATAATCAACCCCCTTTATCTATTGTACCCTATATAAAATACAACCTGACCCACCTAGTCTATTTTCAGTTTTATAAACTCATTTTCATTAAGATGGAACTCCTAAATTAAAGCAATGACTGTCTTTTTTGTTGTTGTTGTTCTAGATAACCTTTTTTTTTATTTTGACTACATTGTGGCAACCTAGATTGTTCCATGATACTACTTTATATATAATCATCAAGTGCTGCTAAATATTAAAGATACTTAGGCTATTCTTTTTTGGTTAGTCAGCCAAATTGTATTCATTTGTCAAAAACTGCATGGATGACTAAATTAACATTAAAAGAAAGGAACAGCACTAACAATTCAGCAGAAACATGCCCATAATAAGAAAAGTTCTGCTGGTCAGAAGCACTCAAAAAACCCATCTATCACTTCCCTCCTTCTCATCCCAACCCCTTTATCATTTTTCTTTAGAAATATTAACACCAATAGCTAGGCATTTATGGGTGGATCACACATTCTCAAGAATTTACAAAAAGCTACAGCGGAGTTGTAGGTCTATGTGAGAAAACAGTCACTATAAAAATAAACAAAACAAAACCAAAACAAATGATAAGGCTCTGCGTCTGAGACAGTCATTATCTTTAAAGATTCATTATCGTCTCTACAGGCAGAAAATAATAATAAAATAAAAGCTCAATTCAAACTTTCCACTTGTCATCATGAACTGCATCAAATACTTTGTTGATTAATTTATTCTCATTTGTGTTGGACAGCACCTTTGTCTCTTCCTGACCGCTGAAAAACCACCTCAACTCCAAGGGTTTGAAAACTGATGCAACTGATAATCAAGCATGTTTCATCACAGTAGAATAAAGCATGTAACAGTGAACCTTGGGTTGTTGCAGCAGATGTTGTATCTCAACAGATTTTGTGCATTTTTCCTGGACCGTTTGTGCATAAGCTTAGATAAAGCATACTGTGATTCTACCTCTAATATTATCAACAGTTATATTGGTAGTGTCAATTCAGCTTTTATTGCTTTCTGTGTTCTGAGCAAGAAGATTAAGAAAACTTTGTATGCCATATATCAGGTGGGCCGACCATACCTGGTGATGGCATTTCCTTGGGATTCTGGGAAGTTGACTCACTAATTAGGCAACTGATTGCAAGTAATCTCTTTTATGACTGATTTAAGCTCTCAAGCACAACCAAGACCAAAATAAACGTAGCGGACAACATTTTTTAAAAAATCTAGGTTTAGAGAAGGCAGCACCCCTCAAACTGAGCAGCCATCTTGGGTGGGAGTAACCCGTACCTCCATGGCACAATATATTGATTATTCTATTTCAGCAATTGCTACAAGCAAAAATCCCAATTAAAACTAGAAATTAAAGTAATTGCACAGCTTTAATTTGAACAAATTTTGGAGCTGGACATCTCAAGGCAAACCAAAGCAGTGACACATTTGATTGTTTATATTGTCTTTTAATTGTGTAACTCTATGTAAATGTATATTTTTTGCTGCCTCTTGGCCAGGACTCCCTTGAAAAAGAGGTTTTTAATCTCAATGGGACTTTCCTGGTTAAATAAAGGAAATAAATAACAGATCTGACTTAAATCATTTTAAAAAAAAAAATTTGTCCTTTAAAGATGTTTTCAACTCATTTTATCAAACTAGAAAATAAAAAAGGTTGCTCATTGTTGAGAGTGAGTTGTGTCATCAAGATGGTGGAGCTGCTGGACTTATATGCACTATTTGTTTTGTAGTCATTCAAAACGTGTGTTATTAAAAACATAATTTTACATAGCAGAAATAGCAGCAGAAAAATAGCTTACACTTATATTCAACAATAGTTTAAAATTATTTCAGCACAGCGGTTATTAAGTTCACTGCAGAGTTTTGGAAAACAACATTCAAAGCATTACCATTGCTAATTTTAGACAACCAAGTATAATGTATAACTACTGCCCAACCCTGAATCGCACACATACTAAATGATAGCGACAGTCCAGTAAACCAGCCTGCAACATGACACGAGTGATCCAAACTGGTCTCACAACTGGATCCACAGACTCACCTGATAATTGTATTGGCACCTCACACACACACACACACACACACACACACACACACACACACACACACACACACACAC